AGTACTGGTAGTAGTAGTAGTAGTAGTAGTAGTAGTAGTAGTAGTAGTAGTAGTAGTAGTGGTAGTAGTGTGAGTAGTAGTAGTAGTAGTAGTAGTAGTAGTAGTAGTAGTAGTAGTAGTAGTAGTAGTAGTAGTAGTAGTAGTAATAGTAGTGATAGTAATACAGGTGTTATTAATAATGATTCTACTACTAATGCTAATAATGGTGACAGGGTTGAGAGAGAATTGAAAGCCTCTGCCGCGTTACCAAACAAGGAAGACACCTCATAAGCATTACAGTGAATTCTCAATAAATCTTGCTGTGGTTAGAGTGGCATTTAAACCAAAACAAACTCACTTAGAAACAAGCTTTGTGGGTTAAAAGATGCTATCGATACAGTTAAGTAAAATAATTTGGTTTACCAAATCCCTTACAAGGATTGAGAAGTCAAGTACACACGTCGAAGTAGTAGACCAGCAAGAGTCCATTACAATAACAGAGTATAAAAACTTAGCTAAATCAAGATGAATAGGTCGTAATAAGATAAGAAATTTAGAGAAAAGCTCGACTATAGCTCTGCACACAATCACACAGTCAGGTGGGATAGGGCGACAGTGTTGGCAAACTAACTTAGTTGGGTGGATAGAGGGAGAGATTGATAATCGACTGAATCTTTGTTTATCGAATCAACGCCAAATACATGCAGTAATAGAACTGATTTTCCATCTATCTAAGATATATAAGAAATTAGGACTATTTAAACTCTTTCCTTAAAGTTGTGGAGTCACCTAACCTGATATCAATATGGACAACAAATTGTTTCTGGAACGTTGTTTTATCCAGTAAATGATACTATACCTCCTTCACTCAGTGTAACATTTCCTTGCTTCTATATTCATAACAAAACTTCTTCATCTTGTCAATGGAACGTACAAAATATCGATTAAGAATCCTTACTAATCGACATAGTTGAACAAAGGACAAGCCTAATGGTCTTGAAGACAGTTACTCAACGATAACATTGAGTGGCGATTACGCTATATCGTGAGCTAACAGAAGTTAGAAATATGGACCATTGAATTCTGACCCAGTGGCTCAATGGTAATGTGCTGGCCACAGATCCTGAGGGTCACGGGTTCGAGCCCTGGAGGGTGGGGTCGTGGGTGCGTACTGCTGGGGAGTCCCACATACTAGAAGGAAACAGCTATCCAGTGCTCTCAGATTTCCATTGTTCCCTACAAATGATATCAGTCTATAATGAATAACAACTTGAAATATTTCCAAAATCCCCACAACTCCTTCAAAAATCCCATATATCTTGAACATTTTACACTACACTCTTCTCCTTATACTTTAATTTTTTCTTTGTAAAATTGAAATAAAAATTCACTAAATTGATGTGAAATTAGTTTCATCCATTACTTCATTAATTGTTGTACTAGACGTGTTGGTTACTTGTGTATAAATGACTATCTGTTCAGTATAGAGTTAATCGCCTATTCTGTTCACTTTCATCTCTGTGTCTCTTCTTTATTCACATTGTTCCCTTTGTCTTTGTGTACAGATTAGTTATCTAATCTCGTGTGTGTTGATAAGTTCTCTTCCGGTGCATACCTTTGTGTGTGTGTGTGTGTTTGTGTTTGTCTCATCATCAAGGGGATAGGTTAATTATTTCGATTTGATAATGATAAGCTTACACTTTATGTCAATCATAGAATAAAACTGATAAATTAGGAAATTTTCTATCTCCCTGTCTCTGTCACACACACACACACACATACCCATTCTCTTTGTTTCTCATCTTTCTAGTAATAGTCCACTGTTTTTCACTTAATCAATTCATAAGTATTACTTCCATTTGGTGGAGTAGTGACTGTATGAGCAAGTAAAAGGTACTAGGCAAGACAAATAGATGACTTGGATATGTGTTACACATGCCAAGCCATCCACTGTCTACCACAATATCCAAATGAAAGGTGAAGTTGGATTATGTTAGAAGAGTGTTCACTGTGACTAAACCAACAACCGTGTAGAAGGGTGTAGACAACCTAGTGGAATTATTAGTTTAAAGAATTTCGCCGATATAACTGGAAATCCGTCACAATGATGATGATGATGTACTTACTCTTTGATACTTCCTACAGCTTGAATCTTTTTAACTAATGTGTATCTAGAGAATACACATACACTGTAATTAACTCTGAATGTAGGAATTGACCAACATTCACACATAGTATCAATCGAATAACCTGGTGAAGTGATCCGATATACTAATCAACACAGACTAATCGATTTGACCTAGTATAACAATCCTCGGTAAAGTGAAGTCATCAAGTAGGAACAATGGATACCTTTTGGATAGGAAGTGGTTCTCGTGACTGCTTATATTTCTTTGATTTGACAGTAGTCTACAGTATAAATCGATGAGTCCTATGAAAATGAAAGTACATTTAACTGACGAGCCCAAAATAGGACGAAACGTATCTTCTGAAATTCACTTCTAACAATCACTAACTAACTTACAACGAAGTGAATAGTTCGATTCTATTATGAGGCATTACTAACATGAATAATGTAAGAATACAACTCAAGGAACGTAACCAGGCATTATTATCCTATGACTTGGCATAAATTCCCATACTAATTCATGTTACTACAGAGGAAATTATCACTGTAAGGTGGAAAAATCAATAAATGAGAACATTCCTGTTGAAAGGTCACAATAAGACAGTGAATAAAGGCGCTGACGATTTTTGGCACTACAATTTGAAACAAGATGAAACGTGGATGTATGTATACCATGGTGGGTGGATCGTAACCTCGTACCACATATCTCTGACGCTGTTCAACCTAATAATCATTCTTTATTTGCCTGGCTAACGTTACCTTTTGTTTCATCGCATCTTCGAATAGGCAGCATTGACCCTTAGAATGGATAGCGGCTGAACGTGCAAAGTGCAGAACAGGCTCACACCACTGGTTATGTAACTTCACCTCTGAACCATATTATTACTATTATTATTTTTTCCTTTGAGTTCCTAGTGGAACACAGGGCATCAGTAACACGTCATGATTTCACTGCCTTTTCCGCAGTCTTCTTAACTCGACTCCACAACTCATACCATCTCCTCCATGTCATCTTCGCCTAGAACGCCCAACTCGTCGTTTCCCATTTGGATTCAACTCCAGGACCTGATCTGGCCTTATATGTGGTGTCCCCAAACGCTCTTCTCACTGTATGCCCATTCCATTTACACTTTCTTCTTCTGCTCATTTGTTGGGTGGTAGGTTGTTGTTTGGTTGGTTCATTGCCAGCCAAACATCCTCCTTGCTTGTTCTTATTATTCTGCTTATCTGATCTCCATCTTCAGTGTCAGTATCGAGTGACTGTAGGTAGCAGCTATTGATGTCATGAATGTCTGCAGTTTGTTGCAAATGCTTTGAGTGAAGCACCGCCAAATCTCTCAACCATCACATAGAAGCACTGACTTGAACTTGACTGATATGAGTGTTGGAAATCCGCATGTTGTTCACTCTTTAAGCTGAGTGCGGTGCATTGCAGTAGATCTTCACACTGATTATTTCAGATTAATGAAGGGAGGCTTGTCTTCATGTCTTTCCGATCCTGGCTGCTTTGACATCCTCATCTGTGCCGCCGCTGCCGCCTGTAGTTGGAACGATGCTGCCTTGCCTAGGTAAGTAGGTGAAAGAGACTACTTCCTTCAGATTTCTCCCGTTCATGGTGATTGGCGCTTGTTGTTGTTGTTGGTTGGGTATCTTCACCTGTCACCTCTTTCTTCTCTACATTCAACTGGAGGAATTCCCGTCTTCTTTCTCTGCCTCGCCTCTTCTGCCAACTTGTTAGTTTTCGCCTGTAGATCTCCGAGTTTGTGCGACAAGATATTAGACATAAATCATCATCAGTGGCGAAATGCAAATCTTCTTGTGAGGTCTTTTCATCGGTCCAGCCAGCGAATGCCCCTCTTCTCACAGCTCCTCAAAGTTTGTTGCATGATCCAGTCCAGTCCAGTCAAGTCGACCACAATCAGGCAGATGATCAGTGATGACAGTAGACGGCAACCTTATCTTACTCCTTCCTGTCTTCACTTCAAAGGCATCACTGAGCTGAGCTTTCCATTGTGAATCACTTGGCATGTAGCGCCATATAGCATAGCATGTAGCTGCTGTTGAATCATGTTGATAAAGGTTTATGGTACTCCTTAGTGTTGAAGGAGTTTCCAAATTGCTTCCCGGTCAACGCTATCGCAGGTTTTTTCAAAGTGAGTGAAGTTGAAGTAGAGTTGAATTCACTGGCATTCTATGCTCTGTTCTATGAGTGTTGCAATTTGATCCGGGTATGATTTGTTCTTCCTGAAGCCACCCAACCAGCCAGTCTGTTACGGTTGTAATTTTGAATCCAGTGTATCCTTTACTCTCTCCAGGATGATGAGGCTTACTATTTTGCTTGCTTGGGACCGGCTAGTAAACTAGACGAGGTTCTTCCAAACCTTAAGTCTCAAGTATTTACATGATTGGACGTTAACGTCAAAGTTGGTCAGACACCTTGTACACTACTCCAAATCCTTAATACTCACCCAGGTGCCTCTTAGATACCACGGATCATATAACGTCGCAGTGGCTATTGAAGCATTTTCTATCCAATGCCAACATTCTCTCAGCTACTCAAGGAAATTCACCTGTATCTATGATAGCTCCAATTTCTTACCAATCCTTAAAACATTGAATTAAAGCATTCACCAGTAGTGGAACCTAGGACGCCTGTTTCGTCCCTAAGAAGGTCCATCAGCCGCATGACCTACACTCCAGTGAATCACTATATTCCTACTGTGATTAGGATCTTTGCATTTATCACTTCAAACGCCAATGTGTTACCGATTAGGCCAGTGAGACACAAGAGCCATTTACAATGCAGTATCAAGGAGCTCATTCACCAACAGAAATCGAACACTTCAAAGCAATTTAACAACATGAAGTTAAAAAGTATCAAATCAACACTTACTAGCTTGTTTCTCAGTATTTAAATCCATTTTCGATTGTGTTCCATTCGACTGTAAATTTAACGGGAATTGTGTACATGTTAATAAATTATTCAATAGTGCATAATTAACAGTATCATTTGTGATACTACTATGTATATCATTTTCAGTAGTATCAGCCTTTTGAATGTTTGTACAATTTTCATTATTATCATTAATTAGTATACTATTGAATAATTTAAATCCCTCACTATTTGATAATAATGATGACGTAGATGATGTAGATGATTGACTTGATCGAGAAGGATTTATCTTCGCTTTGAAGAAAGAATTCAATAGACTAATGAAGTCGGCTACATTCGACAATGAAGATCTTGATAGATCATGATTAATTTGTTCAGAATTAATTCCATTAAATAATGAAGAGAATGCCTGATTCTCATGATAACCATTGGTCTGTTTGAATGAGTTTCGAAAGTTTTGAGAAGTTTGTATATCAATTTGATTATGATTACCATTGACAACGGCACTATTACTAGTACTATTATTGTTATTATTATTACTGTTGTTAGTAGTAGTTGTAGTGGTGGTAAGAGATAAAACAGAAAATGGCAGTTCTTTAACCTTTGATTGTTTACCGTCACCGGAAGAATCACCAGTTGTATTGACATCATCCTCCTCTTCATCAACATCACCATCATCATGGCAATTATCAGTATCATAGGTGTTCTCATGATCACCTCCATTGAATTCTTCATTCGGCTTACGTTGTTTACAGTTAGTTGGCATTGATTTTTCACATGACAGTTTATTACTACTATTATTATTATTATATACAGATGAATTTATTATGGAAGTAGGACTGGAATAAGAGTTATTCGGTTTATTTTTTATCGATTTATCAAATAATCGTGAATGTATCAAGTCTGAAGGTGAAGTAGCCAGTAAATTTGAATTTAACATCATCGTTTTACTGGAATAATCCTCAAGGTCATTGTGTGTGGAGACAGACGGCGCGTGTTTTGTATTTTCATTAAACATTAAAAAATTTGGAATTTTTTGATGATAACTGGTTAAATCATTAATAAGAAATGGTAGATTGAAATGAGATGGTGAAAGTGAATCACTTATATCTGTATCATTATGATATGTAGAAGAATTATGTTGTTTAACGCTATGATTATTATTTTTTTGTTGATTAAAATGATGTAAACTTGAAGTTGAACCTCTTTTACGACCAGTTAAAAGTGGTGTTTCTAAACAATTTGTACTTATACGAAAATCATCTTCATCAGTCTCATTTATGAGCATATTTGATGTATTTGTGCATGTAGAGGATGATGGAGTTGATGTTGATGCAGATGTTGTAGTAATAACCATACTACTATTAGTAGTAGAAGTAGTAGTAGTAGTATTGGGATTTGTACCGTTTGTTAATAATTGACTACCCTCTTGTTTCCTCCATTTAGCTCGACGATTCTGAAACCATACTTGAACACGTGATTCACTCAATGATAGTTTCGAAGCGATGTCTTCACGTGTAACAGCATCTGGATAGGGACAGTTATCGAATGCAGCTTCTAAAATTGATAACTGTTGTACTGAAAAAGTTGTTCTATATACAGAAAGAAAGGAAGAAAAAGACCAACGTTTTTGGGTTTACTATAGGAGATTACTGATTTGTAGCTAAGAGAGAGGGACCTGCATGACCCAAGCTACGCACATGTTAGTACTCATCAGCAAGACCGGTGTTCTATTGTCGGTTCAAACCCATATCACTTACTGATGAAGTCAGAGAGTTCGTCGCTAAATTGATCAGGCCACGACTGCCGTCCTTTAGGATTGGACCGTGTAGAGCAGCAAGCAATATAGCTGTTCTTTCATTGTTGCATATACGACTTGATGATTAATGTCCAAGGTGTTCTAACAACCGACTTTTAAATTCAGACGTCTTACTGCTATGAAAACGTCTTAATAACACCTTGTAAAGACATTTTTAAACCGTTATTATATCATGACCTCATCAACCATGGTTCAGTCACCCTATGGATCACTTACGATACACAGATGTGATCCATATACTTGTATTCGATTTATTTTCATCTCATCCCTATCCTCCTTCATTATCACATTTCTTCCTTCTCCCCCTACGGAAATAACCGATTTTCAGTATACGAAAAATACCTATCAGAACAGGAGAGTAGAAAAAGTACTTCAAAGAAGTGTCTCTTTTCGGCATCTTCATTCTTTGACACATAGATATGAGACCTTCTTTCGTTTACAAAGCTCAGGTTTACATCCATATAGCTGGAAAGAGCTTCAATGATGCAGAGAATAAGAAGATATACAGACTTTGGAAGTTTCCTTCTCGTTTTCCAAATAACTTTGAATGAGTAGGTTCTTGAAATAGATTGATACGTGTTCATAACAGATTCAATTACAACAACTTCTTAGAACACAAAGGTGGTACAACAGGGGCACTAAGAAATACGCTACACAAAATAATATACCAATATTATGAAGAGACAAAGTGAAAGGAAGTGGATAGAGAGAAAAACACAATGAGAATAGAATGAATAGAAGGACAGTCCAGTTACTGCATAACTACAACTGGTTTCCATTCTGAACTATATCTGATAACGTCTCCAGCCACTGAGTTACGTGATCTGTCGGACCCTACCCTACCCAGAGAGTCGTGGTGCTAACCCAACACAACTATCCTTCATCCTACAGCATCGCATTATATACTGACGATTTCTCTGCTTCTTTCATCCAGTCCCAGGGTTAGTAAACAATGAACCGTGTAGAAGCCGTCTAGACGAATGACGATCTCCATCATATGAGAACACACACTGTCGTTTCTTAGAACTACATACATAGTGTTGCCGCGGATACGAACAATCCTGCAGGCATAGTGCAGAACTGCACACATGAAAGCGCTGTAAACCCAACATTTTACTACCAGGTAAACATCGTGACGGCACCAAATGGTGGCCCAGATTAATGTATGCTACTCTGGCTTTCGGTATGCAGTTGAAAATTTCACCACACACCTCGTCTGTTACTTTCTGTGCTCTCAAACCTTTTTTTGAATAACACCTGCATCGAACAACCTAAATAATCAGCTCCACAAAAGCAGACCACTCTTAAATTTTGAGTGAGTTGTGGGGATTTGGAAATATAAGAAAGCCTGGGTGCACTGGACAGCTGTTTCGTTCTAGTATGGGGGACTCCTCAGCAGTGCGCACCCACGACCCCGCCAGCCAGGGATCGAACCCGCGACCTTCAGGTTCGTTGCCAGCACATAACCATCGAGCCACTGGGTCAGAATTCAATGGTCCATATTTCTAACTTCTGTTAGCTCACGATGTAGTGCAACCGCCACCCATTGTCATCGTTGAGTAACTGTCCTCACGACCATCAGGCTTTGCTGTCCAGTGCTCCCAGGTTTCCTTTGTTCTTCCAACTGATGACAGTCTACGATAAATAACAACCTGAAACACCTTTAAATTAACAAACTGAAATGCAAGAGATTGAACTATGTAAGTTTGGGAATGTCTCCATGTAACCGCAAAGGTAAAGTTCTCCTTTCAGAAAGTCTTATCTCGCCTCACATTGTCATAACTTTTACATCTTCTGGAGAAGCTGAGTCATTTATCTGCTCGCTTTTAACGTCAGTTATGGTAATAAATAAACACCAATGGCATGGAAGTTTCAACTACAGGAGGCACAGACGGGGACGTCAAAGCCAGCCAGGATCGGAAAAGCAAGACAGGCGTTCATTAGCCTGAAACCAGTGTGCAGATCTTCTGCACTCAGCATGTGGAACAAGATGCGGATTTTCAACACCAGCGTAAAGTCAGTGCTCCTGTATGGTTCAGAGACTTCGTGCGTTTCCAACAAACTACAGACACTCATCAACAACTGCCCCCTACGCTCACTCGTTACTGAAGCTCAGATGGCCAAAATAGTTAGAATAAGCAACAAGGAACTCTGGCTGGCAGGCAACGAACCAACCAAGAACCCATCACTCAACAAATATGCAGATGGAAGTGGAGATGGACTGGGCATACACTGAGAAGGCCGACTGGGGACATCACGCGTCAGGCCAGGTACTCGAGTGGAATCCAGATTAGAAGCGGCGAGTTGGACGTCGGTGTCGAGGGTGACATGGAGGAGATCGTGAGAGGAGGAAATGAGAGTTTTTGGGCTGTCGCGGAGCCAGGTTCAAAAGATTTCAGAGAACAGAGCGCATCGGAGACGTGCTACTGAATCCCTATGTTCCACTAGGAACCCAAGGGAAAAATAATAAAAAACAAAATGATAATGGCGTGAAAGTTAGTGATGTTGTCAACGTCTATTTCGATGCCTAACTTGGTAGCTTGAATAAACGACTGTATTACATCTAGGCGTGTCATCCTCATCATTGACAAAAAGTCGTGTAATCATCTAATGGAACGGCTCTCCAGTGTTGATATCACTTTCATCTGACTAGCGAGAATAGCTGGTGACTTAGCCTAAATTATTTCAAACTAATAACATCAATCAGTAGGGTGTAACACTGGTGTTGTTTACAGGAATTCAGGATATGCATTTCGTCGCATTTCGGACTCATCAACAAGGTGCATCTATACCATTGCTGTCAATGTCTCCACCGGAGGTCGAACCCAGGACCAGTAACTCCAAACATGTCCCAATATTTTGAGGGAGTTGTGGAGATTTGGAATTATTTCAAGTTGTTGTTCATCGTAGACTCACATCAGTTGGAGGAACAAAGGGAACCTGGGGGCACTAAACAGCTGTTTCGTCCCAGTATGGGACTCCTCAGCAGGGATCGAACCCGCGACCTTCAGGTTCCGCGGCCAGCGCGTTACCAGAAGTTGGAAATATGGAGCATTGGATTCTGACCCAGTGGCTCAATGGTAACGCGCTGGTCGCGGAACCTGAAGGTTGCGGGTTCGATCCCTGCTGGTGGGGTCATGGGTGCGCACTGCTGAGGAATCCCATACTAGTGTGACGAAACGGCTGTCCAGTACTCCCAGGTTTCCTTTGTTCCTCCAACTGATGTCAGTCTACGATGAATAACAACTTGAAATGTCCCAATATTATCCTATTATTATTATATTATTTATTATTCGCTACACTACTTAGTCTCTAGACTCGTATCCAGTAGTATAATAATAACCCACATTAATAAAGAGAATCAACTATGAAAGGTCATTTCAATCGATTAAATTATCTTCTTAAACGATGGCTAAAGTGTTGTCATTATGTAAAATATGACATAGGCACAGGCAGATGGACTTTACACTGACAAAATAAGTTCACGCACACACATACACACACACACACAGACAAAAAAAAGAAGAGCCGATATATGTTCATTTCAAGAAATTATTTGAAATAAAAAATAATTTTATGACTTTATTTCAGCTTCCTTAACAGTTTTCTACAGACATGATAACAACTATCGTCTAAATGAACAGTAGAAAAGGTCATTTTTGTTCAAATATGAATTTTGTTGACAGATTTACAGCTTCATTTGACCTTGTAGTTTTGTTTGAATTCATTTCTTTGTTTTCTAACTTCAATATTCAAATATTATTTAAGTGATGACTGATAATTAATGCATAAAATAGTAAACTTTTTTCTTATGGTGTAAAACAGGGGATACAAAAAAGTGATAAACCTACTGAAAAACTTAACCGTGAATCTGATTGGCTAACGTTAACTGATGATGCATCCAGGTATGTTGTTTAGTGGATAATTTTCTAATGTGGTCACCATGAAGCTAGGAGAATCACCATCACGATCCACTGGTGTAGATACCGGTTGGATGGAGGTAACCGACAGGAAGCCTTGCCTCATCTAGGTTTGTTACTTTCTGGAACTCGTCAGAAGAGTGTATCTGCAACCTTATTCAGTACTATAGTCGGAAACGTTACGATTAAGGCTTCCTGCTTACTCCCTTTTTCCCAATTGAACCAATCATAACAGCAAAGAGTGAAGGAGAGCATATGTTGACTTACCGATGTCTTGCTTTCTTACATTTGTTCTCACCATTCATCGGAGAATGAACTGTAGGCGGTGATCCAGACGAGTCTAATCCATTCAGCTGTCCTCCAGAGGATGGACTAAGCTTACTCTGTAAACACTGATCTGATTGGTTGGTTTGCTGCAGTTGACCTTGACTCGATGTTCCATTTGGTGTACTACTACCATTATGATGCTGATGATGATTATGATAATTGTCACTACTGATCACATTGTTAGTAGTATCATTTGGTGTACTAACATGATAATCATCGGTATTCATCAAATTCGGTAATAATAGGCTATTCAGTTGATTTGACACTATACGATTTGAATTGGTCATTGTATGAGAAAGAGTTGGGAATAACGAAGAGAACATACTTCGATCGATAAATTCAGATTCTGAGGCGACTAATTAACACACAATTGTATTTATATTTATATATACATGTGCGTATGTATGTGTATGTGCATATATAAATGTGATAATACGTGGGAATATACGTCAATCGATCGAATAAATATACGTGACCAGGTGTGATAGGATAATTGATGATGAATAAGTGAATGTTGTGAATATGAGCATCAAGTGAGCAGTGGATAAATTGAGTCAATCAATGAATAAGCAGACGAATGAATGTAACACCGAAATGGATAGAGAGGGAGAGAGAGAACGAAAACAACAAAAATGACAGATTAAAACAAAGAACTATTGAATAATGAATAAAATCAATACTATGAATTTTAAACAAATTCTAGTCATGTTTATAACACGATTTCGGTCTGAAATTAATACACATAAACTGATGTATGATGGATAAGAAACGATAAAAGGTGGGTGAGTGAATGAGGCAAATTAGCATGGCAGACACTCACAACTTGTCAATATTAAGTAGAACGACTAGAAATATAAACTGATAATTTTACTGACTGAAGTCGGTTGACACCGATTTCATCCTAGTGTATGACTCCTCAGCAGTTGACACTGAAGGCCGTGAGTGTTCACTTTGAGTACATAACCACCAAGCCACTATCCACCTTTTTTTCACATCTTTCAATTCTCACTGCATAGCGTGATCATCCTTCACATGCCCACATCATGCTGATTCTTAGAGATGATCTGTTCCAAGATTCTAATGAAAAGCCATCCCTTGTAGGATTTGCCAAGTCAGTTGTTAGCAGCAATTAAAGGATTGACTCCCAAATCAGTGGCTGACTGGTGCCGTGCTTACCGAAAACTCTGAGAGTTAATTCTGTTCTGTTATACAACTGTAAGATATGCGAAGTAGAAAACATGAAGCAGTCACACGGTTTCGACCATAGGTGTCTTCGTAGTATTTCTCGTGTTTAATGGAATCACTGTGTGAATAATGTTGATGTCGAACGAAGAATACTAGGCAAGTTGATCGATGAAGTTGTGAAGTCTCTGTGAAGTTTAGGAACTTGTTTGCGAGGTTCTACGTTGATTTTGTCTGTCTCCCTGCCTGCCTGCCTGCCTATCCAATCGAGTCTAGAATGATCAACTACCATTTAACGAATTGAGTTTCAATGTGACAGTCTGTATATATTGAATATGATAGATGGGTATTCCATCCAAGCATCCAAGTTTGTCAACTCTTTAGGATACTATTTCCTGTCAGAATCTATCGTTGATGTACCACCGAACAAACCAGTAGTCACATTGATATTCAAGCAGTAGGCAGTGAGCCACATTCATCATACTACCTAACCACCTAGACCTTAGAATATGCAATGGGATTCAAACCTGTAACCCGCTTGTTGAAAGTCGAATACTTGGACTGGACATACCTCAGACACCTTGATTCACATTCGTCTGCTATCACAGAAGGCGATATTGCCCCTTAGTAATAAACAATGATATCAAAGGGGGAATGCATCAACTTACTCATTTCCATAATTTGTGCACATTTTAATGACATTCCTGTGTAGTATAAACAATAATGTGTGAATAGTCATTGTCGAGTAGTTGGTTGGTAAGGAAAAAAAGTCACAGTAACTGCATTTAAAGTCTCTTATATCACCCCCATCCTTAAACTACCTTTTAGTAATTTCCACTGGAGGTAGGGACACACATCAAAGGATAGAAAGAATGTACAAACACACATCGGCGTGCTCATGACACATACAAACACACATCGATATGTCAATAAACACACATACATATTTACAAGCATAAATCTCTTTTTAAAAATTAATCTACATCAATTTAAACGATAAGATGCCTAAGAAAGGGGCTAAATGGGAATGAAAATACCGTTTTCTGAAAAATATTTTGTCTAACAACCAGAAAAAGAAGGAATATTTTCATTCAATCAAATTAAAATATAATTTTCATCATCATTTCCTTATTTTTATAATAATTCATAATTCTGTAAACGGTTATTAATTAATGTATATAGGAGAGAATAATACAAATAAAAGTGTATAAATACTCGTTAATCTATGCGTGATAATGCATTACAGATAAATGCGTGTGTGTGTGCATGTCTGTATACGTATGTGTCTGTAATGTAGATTAGTTATTTCTCCCATCTATGAATAAATATGTTTAAAATGTGTGTGTGTGTGTGTAGGTACGCACTTAAGTGCATACCTACGTGTATGCATCGATCACCAAACAGATAAGAGTGTGCGTACGTGCGTACATGCATGTCAGCTTAACATATATATATGCGTTTATGCTCACCTAATTAATTACTGTTAATTGCTGAGCAGGCGTAATTAATTGACTTATCAAAATGTAAAATGAATGTATATTATGCGAAGAAGCGAAATAAGGTACATGGGGAGGGGGGAAGAAGAGGCAGGAGAAGACGCAAACAAAAGAAGATAGTGAACAAAAAAAAAACGTATTAATTAATTAAATTTCCCGAAAATCAGCTAATTGGATTGTCACTTATGCTTTAAATAATGATAATAAATAACCTACACTATCATCTTGATTCAGCACAAAGAACAAGATCCAGATTTTCAACACAAACGTCAGTAAAGTCAGTGCTGTTATATGCTTCAGAAACTTGGCGTGTCACGAAAACCACTTCCACTTCAACAACTGCCCCCTACGCTCACTCGTTACTGAAGCTCAGATGACCAGAAAGAATAGGCAAGGAGGAACTCTGGCCTGGTGACGAACCAACCAACAACTTATCACCCAACAAATAAGCAGTAGAAGAAAGTGGAGATGGATTGGGTATACACTGAGAAGGCCGATTGGGGACATCATGCTCCAGGCCAGATCCTCTAGTGGAATCCAAAAGAGGAAACGACGAGTTTGATGTCCGAGGATGACATGAAGAAGAAATGAAAGGTTGTGAGCAGTCATTGTGCTAGGTCCAAAAGACTGCAAAGAAGAGAGTGCAATGGAGACGTACTACTGAAGCTCTATATTCCATTAGGAACCCAAGGGAAAAATCATCATCATCATCATCATCTTGATTCGTGTAGGCATTAGAATTTTGGCGGGAAAATAGTTTTGAAAATTAAACTTAATTCCCTCTTCGACAAAACAATAAGAAGACGTAAATTGTCTGAACCGATAATGTCACATCCCATTGTATCTACCAATTCAAATGTACGTGTGCTGACATATACATAGGGAGGACTAATAGATCCATGCAAGTAAGCGCCTCGGAATATATTCCAAAGTGCCTTCAGAAGCAAATTAAATCATCTGAACCCATTAAAAGTTGGTAGCAGACGTCCAAGTTCTTCGATCTCCAAATATATCGTTGAAACAGGCCACAGGATTGATGTGGCTACTTCCTTTACACCTATTTATAAAACATATTGTGGAGGGATCCTGAAATTTGTTAAAGCCTTAGCCATTAGGAAGTTGAAACCACCTTTATGTGTTCATGAACAATTTGTTGTCATATTAAATCTTCCTTGGTAAATTCAACTATTGAAAACCAAGTTGGATATACTATTATTATTTTTTCGCTCTATTGATTTTCATTGTTGTTCGGCGTTTACGTCAGGCTTCCTACCTGACCCCCTTTTTATTTTCTCACCCCTTATCCCTTCATGAGTTTTTATTTAAATACCTATGACAAGTACGTGTGTGATCAGATAATTCGAAATGTGTTATGCAAATACATTACACGGTTCAGATAATAGTCAGATGCTTATTCAATAGAATAAACCGTATGTGCACTGATGACACCAGGGAGGAAGAAACCAACTTACTGACGACAACTCTGACACAGACTGGATACCCGTTCAGATTTATCGACCGGTGCAAAAGTTATGTACCACTGAAAAGTATACAGTGTTCAGTTGCTAAGAAAAATGTCTACATCTTATTACCATTTAGAGGTGATTCACATAGCTTTGTTGTGAGGAAAAGACTTAGATCGGCCATCTGTAAAACGTATTATGCAGCTAAAGTCATCATTGTAGAGAAGACCAAGTCCATGTTACAGCACAAACCGAAACAACATATAAACGATTACATCACATCCCACTGTGTTTATCAATTTACATGTATGTGTGGACACACATATATAGGGAGGAGTAATCGTGATATGCAGTTAAGGAAGGCTGAACATGTACCTAAGTGGCTACAAAAACAAATGACCTCAACAGATCCGATAAGTACAGGTGACAAACATCCATCTTCGTCTATCACTAAACATATATTAGAAACTAACTATAGGACAGACATGAAAACAGCCTTTAAAGTACCACATAAAAGTGGTCATAGCCGAGTGCTTAAATTGATTGAAGCTCTTACCACCCGTAAATTCAAACCCCCTTTATGTATACAAAAACAATTTGTACTCACGTTGAACCTACCTTGATAGTATTGATTTTAATTTTTATACCAAGAGAAAATTCACTGATCACAGGTGAATTTTCTTTAGATCTGGAATATGCAGATGACATAGTCATGTTAGGTGAAGACGCTGATAAGATGCAGAGTCTTCTGAACACTTTGAGTGGGAATTTGAGAATATTTGGGATGCGATTTTCACCACACAAATGCAAATTTTTGCTCCATGACTGGTCTTCAGCGGTACCACGGCTAACAATAGAGAGTGAAGTGGTTGAGTGTGTTGACCACTTCACTTACCTGGGAAGTAGGATCAACCCCAGTGGGTTAGTTGCCGATGAGATTTCTGCACGGATACAAAAGGCTCGATTGGCTTTTGCTAATTTGCGCCACCTATGGCGTCGCCGTGATATTCGTTTGTCTATTAAGGGTGGCGTGTACTGCACAGCAGTCCGGTCTGTTCTACTGTATGGCTGTGAAACATGGCCACTGAAAGTGGAGGATACAAAAAGGCTTCAGGTGTTTGACCACAGTTGCCTGCCTTCGTAGTATAGGACGTATTCCATGGTGTCACCACGTGAGTAATGCAGAAGTTAGGTGTAGAGTTTTAGGGAGAAGA